ATTTATATATAGAAAAGGAGAAAGTTGGAGGCTAAAAGCACTTACCTGATTGCAATACTTTTCGATTTTAAATTATTCCAGCGTTGATTCATTTCATCCAAGCGGCGCTGCAGCATAACGGCGTCCTCTTGCGAGGTGAGCGAACCCAAAAGTTTGCGGCCGGTGCCATCGAGACGATCGTAAACAACGCGATGGGTTTCAATTTCCGATTGCAGATCCTGCAAAAGTTGTAAAATTCAAAAGCTGAATGAGTGAGTGGGCGAAAAAGAAAAAGAAAAAAAAAAAGAAAAAAAAAACCGAGTCGAGTCGGAAATGCTAATAAATTAGTGTGTGTGAAATTTATTCAAAACTCGGCAACCGCACGGGCAGCTGCAAGGAAATTGAATTTCAATTTCTATACAAATTTTCCGTTTATGCTAGACCCGCACCAGCCCACCTCTAATTGCGACCATATGTGTGTGTGTGTGTGTGTGTGTGTGCTTTATGGACCCAAAACCCGTGAGTGTGTGTGTGTGTGTGTGTATTTTTAGACAAAGCCATCCGCACGCCAGCGGCAATGCAACCGACCCGGGCAGCGGATTAAAAGCCAGCCATTTAGCACAACAAGCAGGCCATGAAATTGCCGAGCAGGCCATCAATAAGCCCGCACATACCTCTAGGCCATTCCGGGCGCCATTGTGTCCGGCCTGCGCTCCATGAACCGCTCACCTCGCCCCACCTGCCCACCAGCCGCCTGCCACCTGCCACCTGCCACCTGCCACCTGGACACTTTTGAACATGAGTGATAAGTTTTTAAGCGCCTCGCTGCCCGTGTCCCGTATTCCGTATTCCGTATCCGGTGCCTCGACTCAACTCGACTCGCTTTGCAATTATTAACCGCATGTGACCTCCGACCCTAAAGCCACATAGCTCCACAGTCACCACCCGCCCACAGCACCCACCTGACTAGATTTCAAGCTGCGGTGCGTCTCAGTTTTTAGCTGTCGCTGGCATCTGCGCGCTGTGGCAGGTGTTTTATTTGTCAACCCGCCTGGCAAAGGCTTAAAAATGTTTTGCTCTTCGCCTTGTTTTGCTCGGCTGCTCGGACCCAGAAGCATACAAAAATGTACCCAGTTATTCGCTGTGGTTTTGTTGGTTAAGTCACCCACAAAGCCCACACACACACACACACATACACATACAGAGACACATGTACACATGAATATATATGTTTATATATATATTTAAACAAATACACACACAATGTATGTGGGTGGCCGGGTCTTGTGAGTTTTTAAGGCCGGTTTTATGGGGCTTTAACTTTGATGTGGCCAAGTTCATGTGGTTCACACAGCACATTTTAGTTCTCGGGACAGCTTATGTGAACTCAGGTCTGTCGCCCACTGAATAAATGAAGTTGGCCAGCCCCAGAGCCCTTTTTTCGCAAATTCAATTAACAGGCAACAATAAGCGTTTAGGCAAAATAATAAATAATAATTTGAGATAGACTTGTCTATACAGAGAGCGAGAGGGAGAGTGAGTGAGTGAGAGAGAGGCATTTAATACCATTTACGCATTATGATTCGGTAACAGCTAGTCCCTGGCTTATACTTCAATCAAACTCAAATCGAAATGTTGCTAAGGCCGTCCTCATTTGACGCGTTTCCATTTGCTTGGAAATTCTAGCATGGATTTACAATGAATTTTGCTGTTTATTTGCAGCTTTTTAATCCCTGAATCCTTGACAGTAGACGTCGGTCGTCTGCGCATTGCCAGGCAGCTTGTTTCGCTAATTGAATCAATCAATCAATCACACACAACGTGCCAAATAAACTAATTAAAAGTGGAATTAGTGGCGCATACGAGCAGACATAAAAATAACCGTGCAGGATACGGCTTCTAAAATAATGCCTGCTTGAATATATATGTGTGTGTGTGTGTGTGCGTGTGTCACTGTGCTGTGGGTGTGTGGAAGTGTGTTTGCTAATTAAACCTTCATTAGGGCGCCAATGGCTTTTGTTGCATGTAAACAATAGAAAAAAATTAGTAGGAAGGCAAGAAATAAATAAAGCCAAGCAGTCAAAGGGCGTTGAATTCCAGCGACGTTTTTACTCGGCTGCTGTGCGAAACGAGGCAACAATTAATTTGGCTTATGCATGTCACACACACACACACGCACACGCACACAAGCACACGCAGACAAGCTCACACGCACACTTATACAAGCCGTGCGATTCAATTAATGCGCAAAAATTGTTTATACACCAATAGAGCGGAAATGAAGGATGCCAAGGATGGGGCTGTTCCAGCAAAAAAAAAAAAAAGGAGAAGAAAATAAATAAAAATACAAAGCAGTTTTAATGAGCAGCACAGCTCTGCTTGTGTGCGTGTGTGTGTGTGTCAGCAGGAGGCGTGGCATTCATGTACCGAAGCCGATTAAATCAATAAAAAAGAACAACTGCCAATGGCACGGCGTCTCCACTAATAACAGCAATTTGTCCCGTTGCATTGGGTCATTATTACCGTGTCCAAGCAGCACTCCCCCTTCCCCTACCGGCCCCTTAACCTGACTCAACTGATTCCTGTGACGAAAGCTCGCAATTTGCGACTCTGAGTCCATCAAGGCTGGAAGCCGTGAAGCTTTTTAAATCCGACTTTGCGACAGACTTTGGCGACTCCCGCAAAGACTCATAAATGCAGGTATTATCAGCATTAAGCTGGGGTATTTTTGTGTGTGTGTGTATGTGTGGGTGCATGCATGAGCAAGTATTGTGCATGAGTTGTGAAGGAAGGCAGCTTAGCTCACGCTTTGTTGCCTCATTTTTTACATTTCCGCTGCGCAAGTGTTCGAGTATGTGTCAGTGTATGTGTGTGTGTGTGTGTGTGTGTGTATGTGAGCGTGTTTATGTGTACATACAGTGCATTTTGCAGTTTTAAGCCCCAATTAAGTAAATGCCAAGCATCCGACCGCCCTCTACCTCTCTCTGTCACTCTTTCTCTCTCTGTCTCTCTCTCTCACACACACACGAACACACAATGGTGTAAGCCATAAAGCAAGACGTGATTTAAATGCCATGTGAACGTGGCCCAACGCCTACTTTTGGACGCATGCGGCTTAGTTGCTATTAACTACGATTGCTTTTCAGCCAGGCGACATTTCTTTAAATATATTTTTTGTAATAATTACTGGGAAAAAGAAATGTTGAGCTGACGGCTGCTTTAAAGTTGTGACAGCTTAAATTTTGCTTAAATATTGCTATTAAATTATGCTGTTGTTGTGCAGCTGCATAGCTGCTGGCAGCGAAGCGCTCTTCAATCACACACAGTGCGTATGATGAATTTTCGATTAAGTCAGGCACAAAATAAACACGACACTGTGGCACTAAAAACTCGTATGCTCGCCCGCTCATCTGCATCGTCAGCATGAATTTGAAATCAAATTTTTGAGCCAGAGCCAGAGCCAGAGTCAGAGATACCTGCGAGTTTTTTTTTCTCATAAATAATAGCTGCAGCCATCAAGGCAACAACTTTTTTTTGAGGAGACCAAGCAAAATATCAAGAGACAGCAGCCGACCTTACAAATAAAATGGAAATGCGTTTATAACGCGCTCATAAATATATTAGAGGCCCATAATAAACACATCACCAAGTGCTGTCGACTGAGGCAGTGACGAATGTTTGACAAGACTGCCCAGACACGCCTCTGCATGCCTCTGCGACTCCACCCCCCACAATCCCCCTCTACACCCACACACACACACACACACACCCACCCAATGGCAGCTGCTTGGCCACACACACACACACGGCGGCGAGCCGTCAAGTGGGTCTCACTCGAGGCGACTGTGAGCCACGGCCACGCCCCAGCCGCCCACAAAACAAGTGAAAACGGAAACGACAACCAAATTTAAAAAGGCCTCATTCGGCCGCCCCTCCGTCCCCCTTCGCACAGCCGTAACCATGCTGATGGAGCGTTTTACATAATTTACATGGCCCACTGTTCAGATGCGTGTAAATCCTTTATGGCAACTTTAGCTGGCTGTGACAACAACCGCATGCTGGAAGCTGGCAAACTGAAATTTGATTTGCACCGAACGACACAAAATGTGCTCAGGTTGTTTGCTCAACGCTTATTTCAGCTTATTTGATTATGTTTACCTCAGGTGTTGCCTTTATTTGCCTGAGCAACGTGAGCGTAAATATTATCTACCTGACTGAGCTCTCTCTCTTCCTCTCTCTCTCTCTCTCTCTCTCTCTCTCTCTCTCTCTCTCTCTCTCGGAGTGGAAGTGTCAAATGAACTCTCTCTCTCTCTCTCTCTATTTCGTTGTGAATTTATTGATTCAGCCTCAGTTTGTTTACTCTGCGCATTAAATGTGGCCAGGCCGCACTTAAAGAGTCCAGGAAAGAGAAGAAAATGTGTGCAAAGTCCTTTCGATTTCTTGATTTCCTGGCAACGATTTATTTGCTCCACTGCCATAACAATATTTTCCGATTGCATACTAAAATAATAGAAAACTCTTGTTTTATTGCCGACCACGAAAGGAAAGGAAATATTTTCCTTTGATAAATAAATATTTTACGATGCAGCCAAGAAAAACTTTGCTGCAATAAGAAGCAGAACTAAGAACTGCAGAAACTAAATGCAAGACCTGATTCAAAATGCGGAGAAGAAAACAGTGGACAAAGTCTGACTCTTTAGACCTTAAAGCAACATGTTCTATAGAGTGGAGTCCTAACTAATGATTGCTGCAAAAGGAACTTTAATTTCAATCACGAGTATAGATACAAGAGTCAGCTGACATCAGCTGCTGCTGCTAGACAAACGAACGAGAAAGGAACACAAAACGTTTTACAAAGACAAAACAGCTCGAAAATGAGAGAAATTGTTAGAGAAGAAACTATAAACTCCAATTTATCTGTATGTCATATAAGCTTGGCTGCACTCGTCCTTGACTTATCTGCAAACTTTACGCTGCACTGAGCAAAGGCAGCAGCCTGCAGCCAGCAGGCACTATGTGAATTAGCTACGTTTAGCAGGTGGCTCGATGGCAACAAAAAGCCAATGACAAAGCCAGAGCCAGAGCCAAATCCAAATCATTGAAGCGCTTCCTAGTATCAGCTGTGCAGCCGTGAAGCAACCAGAGCTGATGGAAAACTCAGCTGAGGCTTGCGACGCACGCTGTGGGCTTCGCTCACTTGGCTAATTCCTTTTCCTTTATGGGTAACGAAGCTGGCTCA